AATTAAAGGAATAATTTTTATTTAAAGGAAGATTATTATAAATATAATAATGTTGTAATAACTGAAAATAATTGAATGATAATCAAGTAATTGAAGTGGTAAACCTTATTAAGGGTTCTAAATGATTTTTTATAGAGATTTATGAAATGATATAATTAATTTCTTAACTTTATGGAAGATGGAAATTTTTTTCTTTTCTCTTTTTGTATAAGTAAGGGATGCTGTTAAACTATCTTGCTGAAATGGTATAGATTTTGGGTATACACGGAGGAGATGGATTGTTTAAGTTTAGAGTTTGGAGTTAGAGATATTAATATTTGTTTACTTGTAGTTGAATGTTAGCCTAGGTTTGGTTTGGGAAGTCTGGGGGGTAGGGGGATGGGATAAATCATTGAGTAATACTTGTGATGTATTTTTTTTGTTTATGATAAAAACAATAAAATTTTATATTGATAAGATAGAAAAATGTGGGTTAGACAGCATCACCATCAGATGGATTCGTAGCTGGCTGACGAGCCATACTCAGCATGTGGTCCTCAATGAACTGTATCTACATGGAGGGAAGTATGTAATGGGATGCCCCAGGGCTCTGTTCTGGGCCCAGTGCTCTTCAACATCTTCAAAAATCTTGATAGACCTGAATATTGGGTGATATCTAACAAAATGAAATTCAATGGTGAAAAAAGTCTATATTTAGGCAAGAAAAACCAAATGCACAGATATAGTATAGGTAACTGTGAGAGCAATCTCAGAGTCCTAGTGGACAATCACTTAAATATGAGCCAGCAGTGTGCTGCAGCTGCCAAAAAAGCCGACACAGTGCTGGGCTGCATTAACAGAGGGATAGAATCAAGATCATGGGAAGTGTTAATACCACTTTATAACATCTTGTTAATGCCACACTGCCTCCAGATTTGGTCACCATGATGTAAAAAAGCTGTTGATACTTTTGAAAGGATACAGAGAAGAGCAACAAAGATGATCAGGGGACTGGAGGCTAAAATATATAAAGAATGGTTGCTGGAATTGGGTATGTCTACTTTAATGAAGAGAAGGACTAGGGATGACATGATAGCAGTGTTCCAATATCTCAGGGGTTGCCACAAAGAAAAGGGAATCAAGCTATTCTCCAAATGGATGGAAGCTAATCAAAGAGAGAAGCAACCTAGAACTAAAGAGAAATTTCCTGACACCTAGAATAATTAATCAGTGGAACAACTTGCCTTCAGAAAATGTGAAGGCTCTAACACTGGAAGTTTTTGAGAAGAGATTGGACAACCATTATCCTGAAATGGTATAGAGTTTCCTGCCTGAGCAGGGGGTTGAACTAGAAAATATCCAAGGTCCTTCCAACTCTGTTATTCTGTTATTCTATTAATACAAAACTAGAGAGAATAACCAACATTCCAAAAGATAGCCTCAAGTTCCAAAAGCATCTCAACAGGCCCAGTGGTAGGATTCATATATGTGAACAACTGGTTCTCTGTGTGGATGCTGCTTCCGGAAGTCCATTCTGGGCCTGGGCAACAAAAGATTAGCTCCCAGTTCTACCGATCTGGTGTGAACTGACTGAATCTCACCACTGATTGGGCCTAACAAAATGAAATGGTATAGGGTTTCCTACCTGAGCAGGGGGTTGGATTAGAAGACCTCCAAGGTCCCTTCTAACTCTATTATTATTATTATTATTATTATTATTATTGTTGTTGTTGTTGTTGTTGTTGTTGTTGTTGTTGTTGTTGTTGTCAGTCGTCGTCGTCATCATCATCATCATCATCATCATCATTATATTTTTCAGAGTTTCCCAAACTTCTTGAGTTGTTTTCCTTTTCAAGATTTTCATCCATGATATCCTTCCCAAGCTCTCTCTAAATTTGTTGAAATCAGCTCTTTTAAAATCTAAGACACTAGCTTGATTATGTTCTATTGCTTGGGTCTGCATTATGTTGAATTCTAATATGACAAAATTACTGCAACTTCAACCCCTCTACCATTTCTTCTCTATAGCATCCTTTACAAAGCCTTGCTATGGCCACACTTGGGAGTACTACATCCAGTTTTGGTCACCACAATATAAAAAAATATTGAGACTCTGGAAAGATTACAGAGAAGAGGCTAAAACATATGAAGAACAGTTGCAGGAATTGGATATGTATAGTCTAGTGCAGTGGTGGCGAACCTATGGCACGGGTGCCAGAGGCGGCATTCAGAGCCCTCTCTGTGGGCACGTGCTCCGTCACCCCAGTCCTAGGCCTTCAGCTGGGTTTTATAAAACCTTTTCACTTTAGGCCTCCATCGCCGTGTACAAAAAACCAAAAGGGTTCAATCAATCAATCAATTTCAACTTCTCACGGGAAAAAAAAGATCTTGCAAAGATGGAATTGATTGATTGAACTTTTTAGTCCCACCCAGTCTGCAGCCACGCCCACCCAATGGGCCACACCCACCCAATGGGCCACACCCACCCGGTACCTGACGATGCATAAGTGGGTTTTGGGTTGCAGTTTCGTCACTCGGTCTCTAAAAGGTTCGCCATCACTGGTCTAGTGAAAAGAAAGATTAGGGGATATGTGATAGCAATGTTCTAGTATTTAAGGGGCTGCCACAAAGATGGGTGAAGGGAATATTTTCCAGAAGGCAANAGAGGTGGGGATTAGGGACGCTATGCTTCAGAATTCTATTCCTAGTGGAAGAAAATGTCATTTTTAAGATGATACTTCAGGGAATGTAATTAACTTGGAAGGAGGGAGCATTTTGGTTCTGGCTGATAACTTTTTCAGTCAGGAAGAAAAGCAGAATAGTGAAATCCAGGTACAGTGTGTCAAGAAACAAACTCTTGTAGCACATGTTGAAAGGAAAGTAAAGGGTAAAGAAAACACAGTTACTTCTTTCAATAACTCCTTTTCTCATATTCTGTCCTTTATCCATTATCTTCTGCAGGATTGTGAAAATGTCTAGTCCAAACTTGAATGTTGTGACTCTCCTGGGCAGTGGCTTGACTTACGGCAGTGTGTATCTCTTTGGAATTGAAAAACAGAATCCACTGAGCAGACCATCTTTAGAGATGCTGATTCAAGTAGGTGAATGCATGTTTTGAGAATAATTGTGAGATTTACTATGTATTGATCTTAGTGATACAGTTACACAGCAGATTACTGATATACAGAGGAATATGTGGAAATGAATAAGATTTTATTTTTCAGTATTTTCCTTTTAGAAGCAACCTTTCTGAAGCCCTTTAAACATTTTTTTAAGTTTCTAGCATTTAAAATTCCAGATTCCTGTCAATTAGCACATAATACAAAAAGAAAAAAAAAGATTTTTTTTAAAAATGAAAGGAGAAAAAGAAAAGAAAAAAGCCTTTCCCAAAACTAAGTAGATTGTGTCTAGTGAGTTAAAGTGAGAGACTCCTGTTAAATTCACGTTGAATTTCAACACAAAAATCATGCTTGGGTTTGTAAAATATGCTTAATATTAACCCGAATAGTTCCTTACCTTTCAATCTGATAGCACATAATCACAGCAACCGGGTCAAGAGCCACATTTTGGAGTATACAGAGAAACACCCCCCCCCCCATTTTCTTCAGGCCTGCCTAGTGTTTTCTTTGTATTTGTACCTGAAGAGTACTATTGAGGTTTTGTTATGCCAATAGACCAGGGCTCCCCAACCCCCAGTCCGTGGACTGGTATTGGGCCATGGCATGCCAGCAACCGAGTCGCATAAACAAGCAAAGCCCCATCTGCGTGATGCAGGCAGCACACAAAACCATGGCCCCTTCGGTCCGCAGAAAAACCTCTCTCCACGTAACCGTTCCCTGGTGCCCAAAAAGTTGGGGACCTCTGCAATAGACCCTTCACAGTTTAGCTCCATTTAGTTTTCTGTATCTTCTGCTGCCATCTAGTGTTTACCTGCAATGTTGCAGCTCAAGTATGCTAATCCTAGATATGGAGATTCTCAGTTATCCAGATCATAGTTGTCTCATAGGTGCTTTTTCAAAAGGCAACTGGGCTGTTTTTTCACTGAGGAAGAAGACGTTTTGCTTCTCATCCAAGAAAGTTCATCAGTTCTGGCAGGATGGTGGGGGCAATAGAAGAATTAGTTCTGACAGGATGGGTGGGGGTAGAAGGATCATATTTCTTTGCAGTCATCTGGTCGTTAGCATTCTTCCTGAGAGCTCTTGAGGCCACTGGCACCAGTCCGTGGCATGCCAGAAACTGATCCATGCAAACAAGTGAAGCCCCATCTGCAGGATGCAGGCAGCATGCAAAACCATGCCACCTCTGGTCCACGAAAAAAACCTCTCTCCACGGAACTGGTCCTTGGTGCCCAAAAGATTGGGGACCTCTGCACTAGGGGATTTATCTGTGCCCTCAGGATCACCTGTATCAGAGTGCAAATGAGGTGAAATCTTTTGGAACTGCTGAAAGGATTGTGTTGTAGACAGGAGATGTGTCTTATCCCTCCCCCTCTGTTGAGAGAGGGCTGCTTGGTGTTAAAATGACCTCTTTTACTCCTCTTTCAAACGAATGGCCCTCTGTATCCAGAATGTGGGTAGATATACGGCAATATATCACATAGTTGTTCTTAGTTTTTTAGTGCAGACATTTGTGAGAGGATGGTAGAAAGCTTCCCCTCAACCCATTGAGGAAATGGGTAACAAAGTCTGCACGTTTTATATAGCTTCAGGCTTTAAACAAAAAAGAGAATGTAAGATTCTGCCACTTGTGGGTTGGGGATGAGATGAAGTAACTGGGACACAGCAGGAAAATGGTGTTGCTATGGTATGTTTATGCCATAGTCAGGTGCAGGTGGTGCACAAATTAAATCTTCATATTTACAGTATATGAACAGTCCATAATGTAAGAACAAGGGAAATATTAATTTAGCCTAAACTTTACAGTACTGCAACCTCCTAAAATAATAAATGGCTCTGGACACCCCCTGAATAAAATTAATGATCATTTTGGAGATGGGGTTGGATGAGAAACATACCATTTATTTTTAATCTTTAATCTGTATATCCCAGTTCTTCAAATTTGCAGTACTGCATCTGCCTACTTCAAATTTGCATAAGTGAAGTAAGGGGCAAAGTTCAGAGCAATGTTTGAGCAACTCCCACTCTGCCTGATTTTTAAAATCTCATCTGATTTTAAAAAAATTGTAACCCTTTGCTGAAATTGCTTGTGTCTCCTGGGAGGGAGTTCAAATTCATAATTGGAGAACTCCTGTCCTAGCAAGTGATCAGATGAAACAGGTTTATATAGGACTGCCACTTCCTATGTCTGGTCATCTGTTAAATCATTGGCTAGGTTCAGATAATTTACTAGGCTACAACCAAACAAACTAAATTTTGGTGTTACATAATTATAGCCACTATAGTTTGTAATGATAATTTATAACTGATGTGAATCCAGTCATTCTGGTTTGTTCAGTAAATAATGGGGGCCTAATACTTTGGGTGAACATAGTTCAGTAGGTTCTTCATCCCAAGAAGCTTTAGGAATAAACATTCAGGCAGTCAGATGATAACAGAGATATATTGTGATGCACCCCCTCACTTCATACTTAGGTTCTGATGCAAATAGGTGACTCACAGTTATCATGGTTCCTGTTTTATCCCTTGTCCCTAACCCTCCCTCATTAATAATAATAATAATAATAATAATAATAATAATAATAATAATAATAATAATATAGAGTTGGAAGGGACCTTGCAGGTCTTCTAGTCCAACCTTGTGCTCAGGCACGAAACCCTATACCATTTCAGACTTAGGTGTACATGTTTTTAAAACAAGTTTTTAAATGTGGCTTTCTCTATAACAGGTTACAGTAACTATTGTCTATCCAGTTATGGTTACAGTTTGAATTTTAGAAACAACTTGAAGCTTTAATTATGAATTTGCTGGGTCAGTTATCTTCCGTTTGTATACTGTACTTGCCCTTTTGAAAATATGCTGTGTCTTCTAGAATAGGTTGCATATCGCTCATCCAGGAATATTACAAATCTCCGCTACCATGTAATTTTACATTTAGACTGATGGATCTTTCCCATGTCAACAGGTGAGAATTTGTATATTGTACATAAGTGGTTCCTTGGCTTTGGGCCCTATCCTGGGAAAGAGTTGGCGTTTATACAGAGTGTTCACTCAAAAGGTACCAGACAAAAGAGTGGTAAGTCTTGCACACAGAAAGAGGAGCAAAGCTGAACTTTTGGTGGTATTCTTGTTGTTGCCATGCTGAGGTTTGTGTGTAGGCTGTGTTTTTTTTAATTGCTCTTGCTTGAGCTTGCGCTTCTGGGCACAAATTTGATCAGCATCTACTGCAACCTGTTTCTATTTAAACACATAGAAACCAGGCTTGATTAGACATCGTGGTTTTATTATTCAATTTTTGCTTCATCCTTCCTCCCAGTCACTGGTTCAAGCAAGCCATTACTTTCCTCACCCTCATAAGTAGGAAGGCTCTATCATGTTACTCAAAACTGAAGTAGTTGCAAAAAGCAAAAGATGCCTGGTTGAAAGCCTAAAAGAAGCAACAATAGCGCTTTGCCCAGCAGAATGGTTTCCTGCCACAATAAGATAAGAGATAAGATAATCTTTATTGTCATTTTTTACTATGAGCACACTGGCCCACATTAAAAATGAAATTCTGTTGCCTGCTCTCAAAAGAAAATATGTATCTACCCATACACATACATAATACACATATACACATGCTATATACATACATATGTATGTGTATACCCGCATACATACATATCCACATAAATATTAATCACTGTCCATTTTGAATACATAGCGGAAAGAGGAAAATTGAGAGTTCATCAGGTTGATGCTATATGGAACAAAACTGTGGCTGAATCTGGATGTTCTGCTTCAGATACCATGAAACCTCCTCCCAGAAGATAACAAGGAAAATAGGTTATGAAGAGGACATGTAGTGTCCCAGACATTCCTGTGGATCTTGCTCAAGCATTGCTTATATGCTATGTCCTGGATAGAAGGAAGTGAATTACCAATAATCTTTTCTGGTATCTTCACTTCCCTGCACCACCTTCCTGTCTGAAGCAGTGATACTTCCAAACCAGACAGTAATGCAATATGACAGGATGATCTCGATCATCTCTCTGTAGAAAGTGGTAAGGTCAGAGGAAGGAAGTTTTGCTTTCATACTATGTTGATAGATGAACAGATAAATGTACACAAAATATACTGAATAAGAATGGGGTTGTCAGCAATTTATTTTAATTTTCTGTGGAAAGGAGGAGAGAAAGTTTTGTTAGTCCAGGAGTTGTGGCATTTGAGAGAGCAAGATGCCTTGTGAAATTGACTTTTAGAACTTTTCTACTGTCATCCTAAGGGGAAACTATTTGTTAGCACTGTGTTGAATCATAGTTTGAGGCATATTAGTAGTGAATTCCAGTTTACCTCAGTGACATTATTTACAGTCTGCATCAAATGCCAGCACTAACTTAAAGAAATAGATTCCTTTGCTCGCCAGTTCCAAAAAGTTAGATCAATGTCTAACGGTATGGTCCCTAGTTAGGTTTCATCTATTTTATATCTTACAATTTTATGGTCTAACTGGGTAATGATAAACCTTATTGGAATTAATTTCTACATTTATTTTTATTTATTATACCCCATATTATTCATATATATGATTATCATCAACATTTCTAGCAAAAGTCACGTCTAGGTCCCCTTTATGGAATTTTTGCATAAAGTGGAAAAATAACATAATTTGTAGTTTTGATTAGAAAAAATGGGATAATAGAAAAGAGTGAGCTTTCTTTTGTGATTATAAAGCAAGAGATAATTTAGTAATTGTGCTTATATTTGCTGGAAAGGCAATACAAAGTTTTATCTTTCTATTTCTTTTTGTTCTTCCTTTTTGCACTTGTGTTTCTTTTCTTTTCTAGTTTTTATTTGTTTGTGATAGTATTTTAAAAAATACTTCCAGTAAAAGTCAACAAGAATTGTTTCTTACAATCTAATCTTAGATTGATGTTCCATTTCTGTCTATTTTAGACATATCTTGTTTTGGTTTTTATTCTATATAATTGTGTGATCTGTTTCAGCAAATGTCCAATGTTTCCTTTACTTCGCTGTTCCTTTGCAAAGGCAAGTTTTATTGCTGAACCTTTGATAAAACTATGATATATTGTCCCTTAGAAGAGAGTAGTTATGCTTGTATCAGTTTTTGCTATTGTTATTAATCCTATATTTTGTATGTATGAATTATATTTTATCCCACTATACCAGATCACTCTATATTTCTAACTTCTATAATTCTATGCAAAAAAAGAACATCAGATTGTTGATCTTGAGGGACTGAATTTGGAAGGAGGGCTTCAGGGAGATGAACAATTCACATTGGTCCTTAAGCAGACTGAATTGCTAAAGAACCAATCAGACTAATGGTTGTATAATCTAAAGAAAAATACAGTATTTTTGTAAATAAATTATGAATACATCATGAAATGGGCATATTGAATATTTGCATTGCAGATTATCAAAGATTTTCAGCTGCTGGTAATGTTATTACTGTTAGTTCTGGCTGATATTATCCTGCTCTTCATATGGATCTCCTTGGACCCAGTCCAGTGTCTCCAAAATCTTAATGCAGATGTGAAGGTAAGACAGAAAGATTCAAATTAGAGGACTGAATAGCAAATAATAAATATTAACCTTTTTGTTTGAAGAATGATGGGAAATGTACAAATTGCCCTGTTACTATAAAAAATGGGATATTTCTGTTCCCCATGCGTCTGAGAAGCTTCTATGAACATAATTAACACAAGTTATTCATGGATAATTTCTGAATTAAAAGTTGACAAGGCAAACCAGAGATTATCTGTAAGATATGTACACATACACACTATTAAGAATATACCAATTTATTTATTTTATGTATTAGCTAACATCAGGCTTGTATTCTGCTTAAAATCTTTAGTACCCTTTGGTGTTCAGTTTCTAAAATCATCACATTTTGTTACAACTTGCAATATTAGAATAGCCAAAATAAGACTGTTTCCCAGGAGAAGTTAATTTTTATAGTAAATTCCAAAAGTTTAGAGTAAAAATATCCCAAATTTATTTGGAGCCTTAATCCATTTATAACTTTCCTAGACCAAAAATGTATGTAGATTTTTGTTGTTTATTTTAAGTTCGCAAGCTTAATTTTAATTAATTTTTTTGGTTCAGAGTTGAAGGTGAATTTACCTGATGAAGACTTTTTAAACTTGTCATTCCAAAGGTTTCTGATAGCTTTAAGATAATGAATAGGCAATTCCAAAATGGATTAGAAAGTAAGGTTTGAACTTAAACTTGCCTTTAAAAAGCTCCACTATGATTGTCAGCAAGATTACTGGTCTCATCATCTGGTGCTCAAACCTGTGGAAAACCTCACAAGGAACAGCTGTCTGGAGCACATGTGGGCAGTCTTTATTGGGAGGTTCCAAGGAACTTGTCTACTCACCAGTCTTTGCCATAGTTGTCTGCTTTGCCCTTGCAGAACCTTCCTCAGTTTGCTTTATCTCCCTGGAAGCCCCATTCACAGAAATATAAGTTCATCGGAATTCAGTTTTAAGCAGTATAAAAGGCACTGAGATTTTAAAAAGGCCTGTAGATCATTACTAATCTCGGGGGGGGGGGGGACAGTACAGGCAAAAGGTAGGGGTACAGATCTGCTTTTTGCATAACTACAGAGAGGTGAGGGATATGAATCCTTTGGATCAAGTATCTCTGAATAGAAAATATCCTTCCCCAGAACAATTACAAAACCAGTTGACCAGCAGACTCCGCATTTGCCAGGAAGGGAACATTTTAAAGTTACATTGTCTCATCAAATGTTCAAGGAGAAAGTTGCCAGCTAGGCTTTCTTTTAATGATGATGGGTCTCTGCATTCTTAAACTTGGGATTGTGAAGAAATTCAATTGTTAGGACTGAATGTTGGTATATGTACAGTAAACTGAATGCCTCTGCACATGTCAAGAATAAATTAATTTTTAATTATGAAATGTAGTTTCTCCCAGCTGCAAACCAAGATTTGCAGAACAGAAGGATTCATCTGAGCCATGAGAAAAATAATTTGAATGTTAAGCTTGAATTTTAGAATCTGTGAAGCAGTTCTATAAGAAAATGCCCAATTTAAACTTTTTGGATCTTATTGTTTATATTTATTTTTTTGTCATTACTAAGTTTATGGAGAATATCTATGAGGTCACTAAGGGTTAAACCTGGCTTGGTAATACACAATCACTATTGCATAATCCCAAGGAATCCCCTCCAACTGCAAGAACAAATTGTGCTGTGCACTATTTGAACCAAGCTCAAAAAACTCAGTAGCAGCCATGTGATCTTGCTTGATGAGGGAATTGTCGGACTAGTTGCATTCTTGAATGTAGTGAGGAAGAACCCAAGGAACGCACTTAGATACCTGTTTCTGGGCTAAGAATTGGTAAATCACAAAAGCTATTTTTGAGGATTTCCAGTAGCAAACAGCCAAAAAAAAAAACCAACCCAAAATATTTTGAGCATTGTAAAATCCAATGAAGGATTTTAACAACATTATATAACTATTAAAGATAATTGGCCTAGAAAAGATACAATACTTCTTCCTTAGAATGCTTAATTTTGAAATGAAAGGTGCAGTACTTAGTTTTGTTTTTCTCTGGCTGAACATTTAATAACAAATTACAGAAATCACTAGCATATATTGAGACAAGTAAATGATAAGGAGTATGAATGAAAAATAGTGTTTGTGGATCTATATCTATTATCTATCTATAATAAATCTCAATGTAGGTGGTCTGGTCTTACGGAGTGAGATTGAATACATGTAGGAAAGAATAGGTTTAGTTATGAATAAAAGGGCTAAACGTATGCTTGAAATAATACATTGGTGTCATCTAGGTTCTTGTGAGTATTAGAAAGAAGGAATCTATTAGTTGGTCATAGTTGTATTGCTGTACTTCACTGAATGATAATGAAAGAATCAAAAAGTATTCAGAAGATATGAATGAATGATACGACAAAACTAGATAATACAAAAATAAAGTCATTAGGCCATTTGTAGACTCAAGAATGAATGAGAATTGTGACTTGCAAAACTTAGAAAAAGGGTTTTTGGTTTTGAATACATGATTTAAACAAAAATCTGCTCATGCATACATACAGGAATGAGGTGGAAAGTATTGGTTTTTTCCCCTCCTAAAATAGTGTTGGACTAGCAGCTTTTTTAGCTAGCTCTGGAGATATTTTCATTTTATTCAGCTTCTGTTATTGTTTTCTCATTCTTGAAATCCTATTTTATCTTATTTGAATTTCTCTTAAGATTTTACCTATTTTATACATTTAAACTCCTGACCTGCAACTTAAAAGCATCTGACACTATGGGTAGGAAAAAGAAACAAAGAACCAGCTCTGGACATTTGAAACTAGTCAAAGCAACAAAATAACCTGAAATTAAGGAGAAACTTCCTAACAGTGACAATTAACCAGTGGAACAGCTTGCCTTCAGATGTTGTGTGTGCTTCATCACTAGAGGTTTTTAAGAAGAGACTGGACAGCCACTTGTCTGAAATGATACAGGGTCTCCTGCTTGGGGGGGGGGCTGGACTAGAAGACCCCAAGGTCCCTTCCAGCTCTATTCTGATTCTGAAAACAACAGTAGATTAATGAGTTTTTCATCTCAAAAGTTTTCTACTGAGGGCAATTTCCAGTAAACAGTTACAAAGTGCTCTCCCAGCAATCGGATTAAATGCCAAATTTTCTTCTCCATAATGAAAATTATGGACTCCTATGCACACTGGCTATTCTGAAGAAAATATATTGCCTTTTAACTATTAATTATTTCTGTAAAACTGAGAATCTGAAGAAAATCTTTGATGTCTTTAGAGGATTCTCTCAAGAAAAATACAAGCAAATTATTCCCAACCCTTTAATTAATAAGCAGCCAGTAAACACCAAATGTTGTGTACTCTTAAGCTCAGATAATAAAAGGAACCTCATATATCAATATGGACATTTATTTATTAAATTTCTACGCCACTCATCTCACCTAAATGAATTTACAACACTATAATAAAATAAGTTCTGCCTTTTTGTAATAACGGTATAACTGGGAAGATGAATATCCAAAGACTTTGTCCTTTTTTTTCTAAGCCAATTATTTCATAGCTATTGACCTTTGTTCATATTAAATTGAACTATAATTGGCAGACAATGATTCAGTTGGTTTTTTTTAGAAATCTAACATTATATCATCATCATCATACTTTTAAAAATGAGGATCTTTCTGAAGATTTTTGAAATTATCCTTATTTGGGTCTTTACGATCAAAATGTGAGAACCTTTCTAAATAACATTACATCAGCTCATACACTTCAAGATGTCTCCTCTACCTTGGACAGTTGTCCGATTTCTTCTGCCTTATCTCTGACTTTGACAGCAGGAAGTGTAGATAAATGTTTCACCAACACAAGGAAAATATTGCTTGGTCCTTTTGAAAAGGAACCAATTATCTCTTACAGCATGATGACTAAAGATAAACAGATATTATTCAAAATTGAAGGGTTTGCCCAAGCGGTGAAACGGGTCCAAGAGAAAGTAAAGCAGGAAATCTGGTTTCTAGAGCCCCCAGAATTACAAGGTTAGTAAGTGCATTCTGTTAATGCTAGCCCTAGTGTGTCAGTCCCAAGTAGACCAGATAAGAAATACAGACCAGGTAAGCTAATTCTATTTTAATGTAAGGCTGCAATAACAGATTCTTGTAAGCCTGAAAGTACAAATATCCTGCCATCTCCTTTACTGCCTGAAAACTTCTGAGCCTCTTGATCTGCCCATTATACAACTGTGGACTATGCCCTGTTTTATCTGACCATCCCTTAGATAGAATCTCTTCCCTGTGTCCCAAAGTCATTGCCACATATCATTACAAATGCCAAAACTTATTAGGCATCTCATATGAAATGACCTTTTGAATCTGATCATATAATTGGAGTCAAGTGAATACCCAGCAATAGATTCTAGAGTCAGTTGAGTCAGGCATGGTATTTTCATTATAAAGTCTAACTTTCCTCTCACAGATTGCTTTCTGGGTGGAACAAACTGGAGAATTATCTGTCCCAATTTATTTGGGATTATTCTAACACTGGTTTTAGATTGATAAGTGATTTGAAAGCCGGACTTGGCACTAGTGACAAGTTCAACTGTTGGGCCCAAGATTCTACCTAGGGCAATTTAATTTCCTACAATGTTTTTAGTCTGCTAGCTTCTTTAAAATTAGATTGTTGCTGGATAGGGATCATTTCCCACCCTCTCTTCATGTGGACTTTAATCCTCTTTTGACCTCTTTGGATATTCCCATCAAGGCTTGGGATAGTGGCCTTGGGTCCAGCCATTCTTAGGCTTAGGTGGCCTGAAGAGATTGCAAGAGCGAGGCAACTCCTTCTTGCCTTAGATATGTCCCTTGAGCTTCATGGGCTTGAGGGATCAAATTTTTTAGGAGCCTTAGCCAATATAATGTTCTGATATACAAACTCTGGAGTTCATTATTAACACATTTGCACTTTGTGAGCTTTTGTCTTAGGCAGAAACCCTAGACTAGAACTGTCTACAAGCTATGGTAGAT